TAAAGCAACCCAGTATACTTGAAATTGTACTGAAACTTAATAAATAATCTGAGCGTGTTTAATTTCATTAATAATATAAATCTACCTGTGTATTTATTTATTAAATTTTTCTTGTAACTTTTAAACAATTTACCATTTACCCCAATTTAATGAAATATTTGACGAATTTGTACAAAATTGAATCCTGTGCAATATTTTTTTAACATCATAATGTCCTTAAGTACTCAGTATATTTATTAATAAATTATAATGTCCTACAACACTTCAGTATGCTTACTAGGTTGTCAAATATCTCCCTTCCGCTTTTTTTGCTCTTGGTTTATAATACAAGAAGGCGGAAGGGAGATATTTGACAACCTTATATTATAAAAAAATTGTTTATCGTAATTATGTCAATTAAAATAGAAATAATCATGTGAAAAGTATAAAAATGAATAAATCGATTAGTATTGGTATTAAACAAATCTATAATAATTGTTTTAGTATACATTTTGTAACAAAATCTTGATGATTTTACGCATTCAAAGTTAGGGGCGCACGAACTTTTAGCTACCTTCAAACGGCACCTCGTAGCAGGTTAAGCGCACACGCTTGGGACTCGCTGAAGGCAAAAATTGAAAAATCAACAAATAGCAATATTTATAATTATTAACGAAACTGCTTATGTATTATTAATTAATGCTTGAATTTTATTTAAAGGTATAATTTTATAAAAACTAGCACGAATTAACTGCAAATGAAGCAAAAAATATTGTTATCATGATTAAGACCGATTTAAATAGAAATAATTATGTAGAAAGTATAAAAATGAATCATCGAATCGTATTAGTATTTAAAATCTATATAATTGTTTTTTTATACATGTTCATACAAATTAGTGATGATTTTACACATTCAAAGTTAGGGGCGCACGAACTTTCAGCTACCCTCAAACGGCGCCTCGTAGCAGGTTAAGCGCACACGCTTGGGACTCGCCTAAGGCAAAAATTAAAAAATTAACAAATAGCAATATTAGTAGATGTTTAATATTAATAATAGTTTATGTAGAATTGATATTTATATAATTATGCTTTGATTACGTATATTAATTTATATTTTAAATTTTATTTGATCATGTGGTTATATAATATAGCAAAAAATATCAAATGTTAAAAATCAAATTACATCAAATATTTGGAAAATTACTACTAATTTAGCTATTAGTTAAATTTATCTATTAGTTAACTTTTTTGTATTTTTTTTCATTTTTATATAAATTGTTTAACGACAGATTTTATTAAAATAAATTCGTTCATAAAAAATGCTGAAGTGTTAATTTCTTTCGTCGTAAGTGGACGTGAACATCTGGCTAGCTGTCGTCGCTAAAATTCCATAAAGTACTCGGGCGGGAAAAAGGTCGTCGGAAACACGAAAAAGGTTTTTGGAATTGGGGTCTGGGTAAAAAAAATTGAGAGTGTAGATTTTGGTGGATGAATGGCGACTTCTATACATATGTGTCCACCTCAGTGTGTGTGTCAATTTCCGTGTGTGTCAATTTCCGTGTGTGTCAATTTCCGTGTGTGTCAATTTCCGTGTGTGTGTCAATTTCTGTGTGTCGTAAAATTCGTGTGTTGTTTTCCGGACAAAAAGGGTCGGTCGGCAGTGTATTTTTTTTATTATCGGTAGCATTGTCTGTCACGGCGTGGCGGTGCACGCCATGCTTAATAATTCACGAGAAACGTGTATTATGTGAGCGCTCTACGCTCTACGCCTCTACTCTACTAAGCTTTTGCTACGCTTTCGCTGCGCCGCTCGATCGCTCCACCGGCGAACGGACGACGACGACTGGAACGTAACCGAAAATAGCCTTCTGCGCTCATATCAAACGATATATACACAAAGGGATAGATAGAGGATACATATGTGTATATATATACTAGCAAACCCGACGAACTCCGTTTCGCCACCAGATGGTTTCGTGAGAAAGATGTAGAAATTTTTTGTTTGTTCTATATTTGAAAAAAAATTTGATTTTATTATGCAACAGTAATGAATTTATTACGATTACAAAAATGAAGTGTTTTTTAGTTGAACTTCTCTAAGTAAATGAAAGTGATTCCGCAAATTATCCGTTTCATTGAAGTGCTCTTTGGTAAACCACATTCTTTGTTTTTTGGTCTGACGTTAACACGAACAATGCGGATGATTTTCCAACTCGTGAACAGGCAACGTATAACTGCCCATGTGAAAAACAATGATTTTCTAAATAATCTATTTGAAATTTATCCCGCAAACACTAAGCGATTGGCCTTGCGACTTGTTATTGCGAACTGGAAATTGCAATCGTTTGAAGTCAAGCGGAAGACCAGTCGGAATCATTGGTATGCCACCAAATCGCGAGCAATTTTTGATTGAATGGTGAAATTCAGTGCGTGTACATCATTATTTTTTGCGGCAAGATCGTTGACTTTACCAAGCATTTTTTTGATAATTCTCACTAATGTCATTACTCGAATTTTTAATTACAGTGCGTGAAGTTTCAGCAATTTGCATTAAGGCATGATGCACCACTAATTTTCCTAGTTATAAACCGGGCGGAGCCCGAGACCTTTGCAACGAATGCAAAATTGTCGAAATCGGTTCATGCGTTCTTGAGTTATATCGTCAGGAAGGAAAACCCGACTTATATTTATATATATATATATATATATATATATATATATATGTAGATATATATATATATATATATATAGATTCAATAGATAAAACCTGGATTTTTCAATATATTGATTGTTTCTTTTCCGAACAGTAAATCCACCAATTTGTTTTTTGAAGATGTTTAATAGCGACGTTTTGGAACTAGGTACGTTCCATCATTAGGTTTATTCTGTCAAAAGCGTCATTCATCATAAAATCCGAAGTTTCCAAAGCACTCTTGTCCAACATTCCATTGAAAATTCACATGTTTTTACCTTTGAACCCAATATTTTATATAGAGAAGATTGTACTTTTAAAAGACTTTTTTCTGAAAGCAGTTTAATCTTTCTGAATTCGTCAAATTGTGTTAATAAAAGATCAGATCACAATATCATTCAGGATTCGTATCTAAACTTTTTAAACCTAATTAAAAACGATTAATCCTTTAATAATTTTGTGTTACAAAGTCTTGTGAAGTCAAAAACATTTACAAATATCCTCGGGAAAAAATCGAGTGTTTTTAACAAAACATTAGTGATATGAATATACAAATTATTACAGGTAAATAATTTTTGCTTCTCAATTTTATATAAAAACCTTTTTAGTTAATTTTTATTACTCTTTACACTGATACATAGTCCATTTCTTTATAATTTTTCTAAATAATCTGTAATGACCATCATTAATTAATGTTAATTAATAGTTTTAAAAAACATTGTCTTTGGCAAAATAAACCTGATGATGGAACATATTTAGTTCCGAATCGTCGTTATTAAACATCTTCAAAAAACAAATTGTTTTTTATTATTGGATTTACTGTTCGAAAAAAAAACAATCGATATATATATATATATGTATATATATATATATATACTAGCATACCCAGCCTCACGTTGCGACGGCCCTTCAAACCTTTTGTTATAAAAAATTCATATCAATCCAAAAATAAATGAAATCCGTATTGAAATTTGAATATGATGGATCAATACTATTGATTAAAGTGTTTTTTTAAACTTTAATAATAAATAAAATAAAATAATTAAAGATATGAATAAATGAGTACATTACAAAATTTATAATGAATTCAAACCAAGTGACTTTTATAAATTTGTTATATCCTATTTGGTATTACATCCTATTTACCTTGCTAACATTTTAACATGTACTATGATGCTGTTCTATATATTTAGGAATGGTTTCATTGGTCACATACTATTGAAAACTTGCTAAAAGCCCTTGATATTTTCTTTGAAAATTTTCCATAAATTTATGATTTGACGCTCACCGATTTTAATGCATTTTTTTTAAATTTGTGATTACTTACAAATCACTTATAATATAAATTTCCGACTATAAATAGATATTCATACTATCCCTGAAACTAACATGGATAAAGTTCTGAGGAATCCGAGTCCAAATCTATTAAATATTTGATTTTTGGCACTTCGAAATTCAGTATATATATATATATATATATATATATATATATATATATATATATATAACTGTTGGTTGTTGTGTTTTGTATAGATATTTCGTATTTAGTTAAATAAATATCCCAATAAGTTTCCCGTCAAGTTGACGAATGCCACAAATTACTCGAACACATTACCACATGTCTTTTAGAAAAGTTTCAGTTTCAAGTTGTGAGAAATAACCTTTGGGGCTCTCTTTGAACAAATCGTCCAATTACCGAATAAAGGGAGAGCCCTTTTGTGATGAAAAATCACACGTTCTTAATCACGAAATAACTCACTACAAAAACTAGTTCTAAGGGCCATTTTTAAGAGGACAAGTTGAATAAATTTTTGACCAAATTATTTACCATCTTGGGGCAATATTTAACACAATTTTTTTTATCTCTTGAATATTATTTTTCGCCTATTTTACATAACTACCCTTAGAAGAAAATATTTATTCCATATTTTGCTCGTTTGTAAATGTCACAATATTATGTCATTAGGTTTTTTGTTGTTTGCGCAACGATTAAAGATTAAAATAGGGCCCCCCATGTCTCTGCTAATATTATTATCGTGGGCAAACACGAAATAGCACAATTATTGGACAAAAATATAAATATGATATTAGGCTGCATTAAATATGCTTTTGGGTAATGCGAGAAATAAGGGCGAAAGGGTAAAAAAGATACAAAGGAAAGTGTATTTATTTATTATATCTCTTGTAACTTGCAAGAAGGTAGTAAATAGGATATTAAGGACAAATATTTGAAACTAAAATCTTTATAATTCTGTCTAAAATATTTAATAATATTGCTAGCCAGATTTTGTTATTTGTTATTAATTTTTTTATTTCTATTGTTTCAGAGTCGGATATTAGAAGATGCATCAATTATGTGTAATTCCTGGTCGCCTCGACACAATGTAAGTAATCATATTATTAATACCTAAACTAGTGGTGTATGGCATCGTGCCTTAAGGCAAATTGCTGGAACTTCCCGTATCGTAATGAAATATTCGAGAAATTTGAAACGTAAATTACAAATACTTCATTATTTTTGCTCCCTTGTTATATCAAAGTAATAGAGTAAATCAAATGTAAATCATAAATCATAAATCAATTTATCTCCAGAACATTAACAATCGTCATTTTATTTCGAATTCAATTTAAAAAAAAAAAATAGTTGCCTAATTTACACAAAATTGAAAAAGTGCTCCCGTATAGTCACAGTCTAAACGCATTTACAAACAATTCCGTGCGACATTTTCACTTGTACTGTTCTTAGCTTGCCGGCATTTTCACATTTTTCAATAGTTTTCCCAAAATTAGAAAAGTGCCCCAGTATTTAAACAGTCTAAACGCACTTGGGTAAACATTTGTACCAGAGTGGCGCTTAGACTGTGCTTAGTCTAAAAATTAGAAACAAACATTTTTATTCCAAAAGCATTTATTTTGTTGAATCAAGCAGAAAGTTCTTTGAATCATTTAAATCGGACGCTTAGTTCTCTCAAGAACAGCAATTTTTTGCATATTTAGCTCTGTATCTCCGAAATGGCGGGACCTGTCTTTGCCAAAAACTAATAACCATTTCTCCCAATCATTGCTAAATGAATGTTTTTTTAGATCATTCAAATCCGATACTCCGTTCTCTCAAAAACAGGATTTGTATTTTCTGCACTCTTTGCTTTGTATCTCCGTAACGGCTGGACGTGCCTTTGCCAAAAACTCATCAGAACATCTCCCTATTAATAGGAATCGAATGTTTTTTAAACCATTCAAATTGGTTGATCCGTGCGCCCGAAAACGTGGACAGAAAATTTTTTATCCGCACACATCCATTTAATTTCTGAGGTATGCTCCTTAAAAATGTTCAGAAACCTTCAAAACGTCGAGAAATGCAAAAATTTTCATTTTCGATTTTCGGCCCATTACTATAACTACCCTACGGGAAGTTGAAAAATAATTTGCAATTTTTACTTAACATCATATTTGAAAGCAAAAATCTGATATCATTACATCATGATATCACGGTATCCCTATGGTTGCGAGACCAAAGCTCGTACCCTAGCGCCACGGATCTAACTTTGCCAAATCTTAACATAATCGAACCGGATTTTTTTTGTACAAAAACTCTTGATGAAACTGAACATATAAAAAACCAAGTAAGGTAATTTTTTGTTAACAGTTGGATATTAGAAAGCAAACCCAGTAGAAGTCATTTCTAAGCGTAATATTAGACTGTTTGATGTTATTGCAGCAATCTAAAGGTTTTTTTTAACTCGACATCATATTTAAAAGTAAAAATCAGACACACACATCCATTTAGTTTCTGAGGTATGCCTTAAAAATGTTCAGAAACTTTCAAAACGTCGAGAAATGCAAATATTTTCATTTTAGATTTTCGGCCCATTACTATAACTACCTTACGGGAAGTTAAAAATATATTATTACTTTGATATATATATATATATATATATATATATATATATATATTATTATTTTTTTCAGTCTGTCGGAGCGCCCGCCATGAGCCCCCAAACCGCACGTTGGGGACAACTGAAACAGAATCAATTTATAGAAACTATGGTAAGTGTAATATTATAATTGAGTATATAATTAGACAAATGAGATCTTTCAGAGCACCGTGTTTGAGAAAAATATAATTTGCAAAAATTGATTTCAAAAAAGTTGATATTTTGAGTTTCTAGTAACACTTGCGATCCGTTCAATAACGTTTCTGTGTATAAATAAAACTACAAACAAAAGTACTTACTACAATTTAATCATAATTAAATCATATTCACGTAAAACATCCTATTAAACGTAATCGAACATCATCTGTCAAAAACGTTTGACATTTGACGTATTAGCCGCCGTCCATTGTTTTATTCAAATTACGCTTCTACAAAAAATTTCAAATTAAAAATGTAAAGTTTCTACGCGATTTTGAAATAATATCTCACCTTTCCGACAACCTACTGATTAGCACGAATTTTTCAAGACTAAGACTGGCCAAATCGGTTTAGCCGTTTTCGAGTGGATCATTTTATCGAGAGCTTCATTTTTATATATAAGATATATATATATATATATATATATACTCGTATATATATATATATATATATATATATAAGAGATGACTGTAGTTCTTTTCCTCGATGCACCCCTGTCCTTCGGGCGACAGGGGTGCACTTTGTCGCGTTCGTTTCGCTCATAAATATTTCAATGCATCGCCTTGAGCCCTCGGCGACGAGGATACACCCCTGGCTCACTCTCTTTCATTCTCTCTCTGGTGTTTAATATTTTAAAAGGTCGCCTGCATTTTTAAAAAGAGACGGAAAACAGAGGAAATATATATATATATATATATATATATATATTAGGGTGGTCCTTAAAAATGTCATTTTCGAATTTCCTTGCTCCCAGGGGCTCAAATGGTTCCAAATTGATGAAAAACAATTGTCTGAAAGTTTTAGCTCTTAATATTAACGTTTAGATAGAGCGCAATTCAAATCAAAGTTTGTATGAAAGAGCAAGGAAAAAATTTTGAAAATTAAAAAAAAAATGTTTTAGGTATAACTTTGCGACAAATGAATGAGTTTTATTCATTAATTTGTTTCGCGAAAATACATCTAAAAAGCATTTTTAAAATTTTTGAAAATTTTTCCATGCTATTTCCATACAAAACTTTGATTGAATTGCGCTCTATCTAAACGTTAATATTAAGAGCTAAAACTTTCAGAGAATTGTTTTTTATCTATTTGGAACCATTTGAGCCCCTGGGAGCAAGGAAATTTGAAAATGACCATTTTAAGGACCACCCTAATATATATATATATATATATATATATATGTTGGTTTGACACATATTTGGCCAGCTGTACAATATATAGTACAGAAAGTTTACAACTTAAGGGGCACAACTAGTGTAACCGCCTAAAAAAAAGGTGATTTTTGGGAATTCATATTAAAAAAAATACTTTATCAATCATTTCAAAATTTTCGGAATATATTTATACATGTTTTAAGAATACATAGTAAAATTATTGAAGATAACAATTAAATATTTTTTAAGTTATCGTCGATCTCCAACGGCGATAATTAGCAATAAGTGGACTTGGGACATTTTTTCACATTTTCTTAAATTCTATGGAAAATTTAGTCTAGACACTTTAACTTGCGTACATTAAAAAAAAAGTGAATAAAATTTACCAAAATTTGGTCTAAATTAATATATACACTTGCATATTGAAATTTTGAATAAAACTTGTCGAAACACAAACTAGAGTATTTTGATAATTATCAATTTAAGTGGATTTGGTACATTTTATTTCATTTTGTTATATAACATGAAAATTTTATTCTAAACTCTTTGATTTGTTTACATTGGAAAAAAGTAGATAAAATTTACTAAGATTTGGTATAAATTGTTATATACACTTAGATATTGATATTATGGGTAAAACTAGTCGGAACGCTAACTTGAGTTATATATAACATAAATGTTTCTAGTGAAAAATATAATTAAATATAGTTTTTGTTTTTTAAGGGGCATAACTTGTGTAACCGCCTAAAAATAGATGATTTTTGGGAATTCATATTAAGAAAAATACTTTATCAATCATTTCAAAATTTTAAGGATATATTTACACATGTTTTAAGAATACATAGTAAAATTTTTGAAAAAAAAAATTAAATATTTTTTAAGTTATCGTCGATCTCCAACGGCGCGACAAAAATGCCCTTAACTGCAGTGATTCCGGCCTTCTACGTGGATGAAATTTAAAAAAAAAAATTCGTTAAAATAGATAATATTGTCTGTAAAATGACATACGATAAATAAAAAAAATTAAAAAGTGACAAAATGGCGGCGTTTTTTTAAAAAATGTCGAATTTTGCCCAAAATTTTGGTCGTTTTTGGACTGCCAAAATTCGATATTTGATCCGATCAAAAAATCGATAGTTCATTTTACGGAGAACTATAAATAGAACATGTAAAAAAAAATCAATAGTGATGGGATCATTTGTTTTTGAGTAATCGCTGCAGCAAATTCGGAAAATGCTTTTTCGAGAAAAACGCGTTTAAAGATAAAATGATCGTTATACTATATACTATATAAATACTCTTTGAATGGCTGTGACTCAAAAACTATTTAAGATATCGATTTAAAATTTTGGTATGTTATTTTTGAAAGTATAACCTATCGAAATATGGAAAAACTGCAAATACGATTTTTTGAAAATTTCATACTAGTTGTGACCCTTAAATTGGTTTCTTACTAGTTAATGCATTTTTCTATTATGTAACTTTTAACAATTTTTTTTAAAATATATTTTGTTTTCAAAATTGTACAAAATTGAATGAATCAAATCATTTTTTCTACAGCAACTCGGTATACTTTTAAATCGACATTTTTAAAATTTAAATATATTTAAATATATATATATATATATGTATATATATATATAAATTTAAATATTTTTACATTTTAAAATTTATTTCTTTATTACCATAACCCGAGTAATGGTTTATTATGATGTTGGTTGGTGGCCCCATTTGATAATGTTCCTTCGTAATAAACTTTTACGATAATATTCCCTATAATGTCGTAATTGTTCTTAACGATCGCAGCTTTCAAAAGCTCAAAGCTTTCTAAAACCAAAAGCTTTTGTCGTAACGATTATTTGAGGAGAATGATTATGAGCTTTATTTTGAAAGCTCGGAGAAAGGGATACAGGGATGATTATAAGAAAATTTTTATTAACTTCCCGTAGAGTAGTTATAGTAATGGGTCGAAAATCGAGAATGAAAATTTTTACATTTCTCGACGATTTGAAGGTTTCTGAACATTTTGGCATACCTCAGAAAAAATGGATGTGTGCGGATAAAAAATTTTCTGTCCACGTTTTCGGGCGAACGGAT